GGAGGAAAAAAAAACTCTATTTAAATATTCTCTACAGATATGACTCAGTTAGGACTGTCATGAATAGGAACAGATCTAAATATCCACCAGCAACTCGGGAACCCAACAAATATCAAAGGGCCTATTGTGCAAGCCGTGGCAAGATTTGAACTTGTAAAAAACGAGCCTTAGGAGAAATATGATTAAAGCTGTTGGGTGTGTTCTGGTGGGAGGGTTCTTAGTGAATGGAATCTTTTATAAACCGGAGAATACGTGCCCACCACCAAAGCAGGGAGAGAAAAAATAAATAAATAAATAAATAAAATGAAATGAAATGAAATAAAATAGAATAAAAAAGAATTTAATAGAATTTAAAAAATAAAATGAACACACAAAAAAAAAGGACTATTTTTAACCCTTTCTTGTCACTCGGGCCCTTAAGTTAGGGGAGTCTTTTTATTCAGAAATTCTACAAGGAAGAAATAGCAATTAATCCAATTGAACATCCAAATGACCTATGATGATGTGAAGAACTGGGTAAACCTAATCTTAAATTAGTAAGTCAAACTCAAAGCCAGTCACAAACCTCACAGAAAACATAAAGTGCAACACAAATAGGCTATATTATCTAGATGAATCCTATAGCTCTGTGCCCACCTTTCCTCAACACGTTCCCAACAATCAAAGCTACGGTAAAAACGGGAAGGACTTCCGTAGGGAGCGACCACCCCAACAAATACAATAAAGAAGTGACCTAACCCTAACCCTGACCCTAACCCTGACCCAACCCTTAACTCTACCCTTACTCCTACCCCACATCCTAACCCGATCCCTAACCCTCTATTCTACTCTGTTTCTCTGAGGTTGCTCGTTCCGTAATTCATCCCTTCCTCCCGTTTCATGTCCATAGTCTCTCTCTATATATATGTCACTGGATTTATATTTTTAAAAAATAAAAACGACATAAAAAACCCTTTTCCAGCAACGGTCCCTCTGAGAATTAATAACGGGCCAGTTTATCGCAACACCTGACCCATATACTATTTAGCCTATAGGCCTACCAAATTCGCTGAACGTCTTGAATATGTTATCAACGGTGCAGCACGGTGCAGAAATGCCACACCCACCCGAAATGACCACTTGGACTCCGCCCCCCTCACACACTACCACTTATGATTAACTCGCTCGGCGGTTCGAAAATAATATTATTGAAGCAGTCCTATAATTGTTTATTTTAAGAACTGATCGCGGTTCATGGGAAAAGAAATCAAAAGAAAGATATCCCTGCAGTGAAGGGGCTGAGAGAAAAGGGCGGTGGTGGGGAGGGGCACTGTACTGTGCCAAAACCCACAGGCACACACACACACACAACCTGGGGCTGAGGTCATGCTACTGGCGAAACTGAATACCACACCTGTTGCAATGAAATGGTCAAATCTCAGAAAGGCTCTACACAAAAACATACAGGTACGTTCACACCAACTCACAAAATACAGCAGTAGCTCAAGGAATATCCCGATACATGACTTCTAACGAGGAACGAGATACAAGGCCTACAATTGACACGGGCTTCTGTCTGCTGTTTTTCTTCGCTACCTGTCACACACACACACGCACGCACACACACCGCTCTCAATCCCGGCGGCTTGCACGTTATCAGGACACCACAAAGTGGCCCGGAGCAAAAAACGTAATAGCAGTACCACTGGGCACAATATCCACCAGAAACAAAGCGTCAACTATGTTCACTTCAGTCTAAATCATCACAACTTGTATATATTGAAACATGATTATATTATTAATTTTGTCAACAGGACCTACCTCGAAAGAAAAAAGAGAGAGAGGGGGAACAATCGAATCGATCTGCGACCTATCCACAGGACACACGGTTTGTTTATGCCTGCGTGACCCCCTCGCAGACAGACTTACCTCTCCAACAACAGGACAGGGCTGGGCAATGAGTCGCTTTAGCAAAATCCGGATAATATATTAGTGCACCTCTTCGGCAACTAATATGATATAAACAGCTTCGGCAAATGGGTTAGAACCACTTTGACTAACGGGTTAGCTCTACTTCAACAAAAGGATGCACCCACTTCGACAAACGGGTGAGGAAAGAGGGTGAAGGCTCTGAATTCGGATGTTTCATTGAGAGTTGTCCGGTTATTCTTATTGATTATCCGGATTTTGCCCACCTTTACCCCTCGCCCCACACACACAACACGAGAAACACAATCATTGAATATTCATGAGCTGGCGATCGCTCGTCTCGTTGGCTGATCGACAGCGTGTCAAAGTTCACGCTCATTGATAGCGCTGTACTGTGCGAATGGCAGGGAGGTTCTTGTAAGCCGGGTGGAGCCGTGTGACACACCGTCTCTTTGTCTCTTGTTTGCCCAGACTTTTGTCACAATATCACACTCCTAATACGCCCATACTGAAAGGCCCTTGAAGCGCGTTTTTTTTTTTGGTGGAATAAATATACCGTAAACAGAAAAGAGAAAAAAGAAAAAGTGTGTGTGTGTGTGTGTGTGTGTGT